CTCTCTCTCTCTCTCTCTCTCTCTCTCTCTCTCTGCCTTTTGGTTAATTTGGATAAGGGCTTGTCTATCTTGTTGACTTTCCCAAAGAACCAACTCTTTGTTTTATTGATTGAAATAGAAACAAAAAGTATTGCTCTCTTTGTTTCTATTTCATTGATTTCAGCCACCAGTTTGATAATTTCCTGGCATCTATTCCTCCTGCGTGAGTTTGCTTCTTTTTGTTCTAGAGCTTTCAGGTGTGCTATTAAGTCACTAGTGTGAGATTTAGCCATATTCATTATGTGGGTATTTAGTACTATGACTTTTTTCTTAGCAGTGCTTTCCTAGTATCCCATAAGTTTCGGTATGTTGTACTTTCATTTTCATTTAATTCTAGGAGGTCTTTAATTTCATTCTTTATTTGATTCATTTGGGCATTATTCAGAATCCAAAGTATTGTAGGCTTTCCATCTTCAACAAATGGTGCTGGCATAACTGGATATGAACATATAGAAGGCTGCGAATACATCCATATCAATCACCATGCACAAAATTTAAGTCCAAGTGGGTCAAAGACCTCAACATAAATCCAGCTACTCTGAACCTGCTAGAAGAGAAAGTAGGAAATAGTCTTGAATGCATTGGCATAGGAGATCACTTTCTATATATAAAACCAGTAGCTCAGACACTGAGAGAAACAATCAATCAATGGGACCTCTTGAAAGTGAGAACGTTTTGTAGAGGAAAGGATGTGGTCAACAAGGCAAAGCAACAGTCTACAGAATGAGAAAAGATCTTCACCATGCCCACATCTGATAGAGGACTAATATCCAGAATATATAAAGAACTCAAGAAATTAGACATCAAAATGCCCAACAATCCAACTAAGAAATGGACTATAGAACTAAACAGAGAATTCTCAACAGAGGAAACTCAAATGGCTGAAAGACATTTAAGGAATTGCTCAACATCCCTAATTATCAGGGAAATGCAAATCAAAACAACTCTGAGATACCACCTGTCAGAATGGCTAAGATCAAAAACACTGAAGTCACTTTATGCTGGAGAAGATGTGCAGCTAGGGGAACTCTCCTCCACT